AATAGCAACACAATTATAAAGGGGACCTCAATACTCCACTCTCACAAATACACAAATCAACTAAACAAAAAATCTACAGAAATATCAGAGCTCAAGAAACCTTTGAACAAATGGACTTAATATTTACATACAGAGTGTTCTACCCAACTTCTTGGCAGCACATGGAACTTTCTCCAAAATATACCACTTACTAGAAAATAAAGCAAGCTTATGTTAATGCAAAAGAACTGAAATTTTACCATGCATATTATCAGATCACTGAGCAATGAAATTAGAAATCAGTGGCAAAAAAAATCACAGAAATTCACCAAACACATGGAAATTAAGCAGCAGTCTTGAATAATTCATGGGTCACACATGAAATTAAGAAAGAAATAAGACAATTTTTACAATTAAATGATAATTCCACTGCAACATACCAGAATTGATGAGACACAATGAAACCAGTCCCTAACAGGACTAGTATACCTGTGAATGCCCATATCACAAAAACAGAGCAAGCCTAAATAAATAATGATACACCTCAAGGTCCCAGAGAAACAAAACAATCCAAAGATAGAGCTTGCAAAAGAAAGGAAATTATAATGATTAGAGCAGAAATCAATGAAATGGAGACTAAAAAAAAAATACAGAGGATCAATGAATCAAAGAGCTGATTCTTTGAAAAATAAATAAATTAGACAAATCCTTAGCCAATCTTACCAAAAAAAGAAAAGACACAAATCAATGCAAACAGAAATGAAAAACTGGAAATCACAATGGAGACTGCCAAAATCCAGAATATTATTACCAACTGCTAGATTTCACAAATAATTTGGAAAACTCAGAAGAAAGGAAGAGATTCTTAGACATATATGAATTAGTAAAACTGAACTGAGAAAACTTACAAATCTTAAATAATCCAATAACAGGCAATGAATCCAACTCAAAAGGAGAACTATATATAGGTCAATATCTCTAATGAACATAGATGCAAAAATCCTCAACAAGATACTGGCAAACAAAATGCAGTATATCATCACAAAGATCACAGACCATAACCAAGTAGACTTCATCTCAGGATGCAAGGATGGTTCAACACATGCAAATCAAGAAATGTAATTCATCGCATAAAAAGGACAAATCACATGATCATCTCAACAGACACAGAAAAAGCTTTGACAAAATTCAACATCCATTCATGGTAAAAACCCTAAAGGAATTAGGCACTGAAGGACTTTATCTTAATCTGATAAAAATCATACATGATAATCCTAGCACAAAGATTGTATTAATGGTGAAAATCTGAAAGCTTTCTCTCTAAAATCAAGAACAAGACTAAGACACACACTATTACCATTCCTATTTAACAGTCCCCAAAACATTAACCAGAACAATGAGGCATGAGAAAGAAATAAAAGGGGTACATACTGCAAAAAAAGAAGTCAAGGAATCATTATTTGCATATCACATGATTCTCTACTTATAAGACCCAAAAATTCTACTGAAAGACTCCTAGAATAACCAAATTCAGCAGTGTAGCAGGATATAAAATCACACAAATGTATCATTCCTATGTACTAATAATGAACTTACTGAGAGAGAAATTAGGAAAACAATACCATTCACAG